CTCGCCTCTAGCGACGTACCATTTTCTACTTTACCCCAGTTTTTCTTTTGTTTTGTTCTTTATAGTTTTCGTGTGAATTTCTTCCTTGACTTTTTCTCACTTTCATATCTTCATTTCATATGTAATCTTTTCGCTTTTAATTTTCTTTCTTTTGTCTCGTTCCTTTATTACTTTTTTTTTTTTATTATTCTTCCGCTGATTTAACTTGTCATAAATTTCTTTATTTTTGTGCTATTCTTTATTTTCCTCTTATCTTTTCTTATCTCTATATTTTATAATTCACTTTTGTTTTTTTCGTTGTATTATCTATTCTTTTCATTTGGTATAGAACTCTTCTTTCTGTTCAATTCTTTTTCCTGTCTTTGTTTCTTTCGTTCTGTATTTAAGTTTTCTATTCTCTTTTTCGTTCGTTTATCTTATACTTTAGATGTGATCTTTCATTTTCTTTTTTACTCACTCTAATCTTTTTTCTTCTTTCCCTTCTTTTGTTTTGCTTTCTTTTTCTCATTGTTTTTCATTTATTAAATATCCTTACGTCTTACGTTTACCCCATTTGAATTAATATTTCATCTTTTCTTTTTATATATCAGTTGTTATTCGTTTTCGTCAGTCATTCATCTTCTTTCGGTAACGGTCTTTCTCTAGTTCGTTATGGAGGGATTACACTCATTTCCACGTCTATCGAGTTATTTATTTTTCATTTGTACTTTTTTCATTCTGTATTTTTACTCGTTGTTTTGTCTTTTTCTTTTTTCTTTTTTTTTTTTGCTTTCTGTTTATTGATTTTATTCTTTCTTCTTTTTAATCATTATTTGGCTTACATCTCCCTTGCTTATGTTTAGTATATATCTCTTCCTTCCTTTCCATTTCTCCTTCGTTTTCTTTTATTCTTTTATTCTTTCTTTCATACTTCATTTATTTATATAGTTTTCGTTCTTTTTCCACTCGGGTTTCTTACAATTATTTATTTTTTATTTTATTTCCTTCATTTTAATTTTGCATTCGTTCATTTTTCCGTTTTATTTGTTTCGTTACTCTTTTCCTTTTTATTTGTTTGTTCTTTCTTTTGCTCGTCTTTTTTGTTCATCTTTGCGTTTAGTACGTCAATCTATATTTCTACCCTAACATTTTCTATTCTTTCTTTCTTTATTTTTCTACTGTTTTCTTCTTTTTTCTTTCTTTTTTTTTCCTTCTTTCATCAATTCTTTGTTTCTTCTTCTTTTATTTTTGTCTTTATTCCTTCTGGTTCTTCATTTCTCTCTTTCTATCTTTCTTTCTTTCTACTAGTTTTTATATTTCTCCCTTTCTCTTTTCTTTTTACCTTTCTTATTCCCATTGCCTCTTTTCACTTCTTTTTATACGTCTTTTTTTTAATTATCTTTAATATGATGTTATCATATTTTCCTTTTCTCTTTTTTTTTCTTTTTTCTTTCTTTTTCTTTTTCTTTCTTATCTTTCTTCGTCCTTTTCTAATTAATTTTTTCAATTTTTCTGATACATGTTTCTCGGGTCATTCATTCTTTTTCTCTCTTCCTTTCAGATTTTTAAACTTTTTCATCATTAAACTTTTTCCACAATTTATTTTCTATCATTCATTATTCCGGTTTTCTTTCTATTTTTGTTTCCTTTTCTTTCTTTTTTATTTTACATTCATCTTTATATATGTTTTTCTCTTTCTACCCCCTTTCTGATTTCTTCTTTTACTCCTTGTCTTATTTTTTATATTTCACTTTGTTCAATTGGAATTTTCTTTTTTTTTTACTTATTATTTTCATTAATTTTCTTATTGTATTGACGTCGTTTATTCGCTGTACTTCTCGTATTTATCGTCTCTTTCCTTCTCATTTGTTCCTGACACTCTTTCTTTTCTATTCTTCTTTTTTAACGCTAACCTATATTATTTTAATTTCCTCACTCGGGTTCCTATTTTTTATTCATAGTACTGGCTTACGCATGCGTCTGTATCTACCTACCGAACCTAAAGATTTACATCCTATAAGTTGAAATAGCAAATTGTCTCTATCAATCAATTTTCAGGGCATAAAACATTATTTAGTAAAGTACTTCAAAGAAATTTCTGCAGGATAGAAATATTTCCCCAAAATTACACTCCTCGCCATGGTGAGTATTTCCTAAGCACGTTTATAAGTTTTTAAAATAATTTAGTTTTATATATATATATATATATATATATATATATATATATATATATATATATATATATTACAGTTCAAAGGCTTGCGGCCAAATCTGGTAATTTTTTTATTGGTCCTATGTATATTTGTTTTGTACCTTAAATGAAAGAAAATTAATATACATGTTTAAAATAAATGAGGCATGATTTTTTTATTAGAAATTACATTATGCCAAAAAGAAAAATCAGCATTTTATCATTAAATTTTGGTCTTCTCCAAGTATCCTTCTTTAGCCTTGATTACCGCAGCGTAATTTTTTGGCATTGGTTGCATAATTGATTCCATTGTTTTTCCAGTGACTCTAAGATCCCTTTTTAATTTTACTTTTTATTCTTCTGTTAAGTTCATCCCATGCTGATTTTGCGGCTGACTTAAAATTCTGAACTGCATTATATATATATATATATATATATATATATATATATATATATATATATATATATATATATGTATGTATGTATGTATGTATATCAGGTCATCCCATAAGTTCTGATCGAATTTTAACTTTTAAATTTAAAGAGTATTGTTTAATGTCTAATGGAGCTGAACATTTTTTTTATGTTTAGATGCATAAAACTGATCAAATTTTATTTCAGAGAACAATAAAATTAAATTTTGTTTGATTAAAACCCTGCTAACATGGAAGTACCCAAAAATCATTTGAGGCACATAATGCTTTATGAGTTCAAGAAAGGAAACTCAGCAGCCGAAGCGGCTAGAAACATTCAACCAGTTTATGGAGAGGGATGTGTGAATGAAAGAAATTGCAGAAGATTGTTTGCAAAATACAGAGGTGGAGATTTCACCCTAGAAGATGAAGATCGAACCGGACGTTCAGTTGAGTTTGATGAAAAGCTTCTTGAAGCTGCCCTTGAAGAAAATCCTGCTTTATCAGTTGAGGAATTGGCATTGGTTCAAATCATACAACTGTCCATCGTCATCTTCAACAACTTATAAAAGTTCCTAAAGTTGGAAAATGGGTGCCTCATGAATTGTCTGAAAACAATCTCAAATCCCGTGTTGACATCTGCTCTTCTCTCTACTCTCGCCAACTTGTTTCATCTTTTTTGGATAGACTTATGACTGGCGACGAAAATGGATCTTTTATCGAAATGTTAAGCGTCGTAGACAGTGGCTTGGTAAAGGAGATGGACCCCAGCCACAGCCGAGAAGGGAATTCATGGACAAAATGTTCTTCTTTCAATCTGGTGGGATCGCCAAGGAATAATCCACTTTGAATTCTTACTACCTAATGCAACAATTAATGCTCAAATATACTGTCAGCAATTCGAGCGTTTGTACCAAGCTTTGAGGAAAAAAGACCTACTCTAGTTAATCGAAAAGAGATGATGTTTCACCAGGACAATGCGCGACCCCACACAGCAAGAATTACGTCACAAAAGATCGAAGAAGTTGGTTGGGAGAAAATTCCTCATCCACCTTATTCTCCCGATCTTGCTCCCTCATTTTCTTTATTTGGACTATCATCTTCATATTCTATACCATATTCACAACTCTCCGGCCTTCTTCAGGTGATAGGAATTTTGAGCGAAACCCTTATTTTGTCCATCACGGCTGATTGTTCTAGTTCCACATGCCATGCTTCTTCCGTATATGTCAGTTATTTCCCTTTAACTCAATTCTCAAAGTTTTGGTTCACTACTGCTGTGGCCTGGTATTGAACCCACAACACTTTAGGTCTAGTCACTGGATTTAAACAACGTCTTTATCCACTGGGTCATGCGCCCTTAAGGACATCTCTGTATGAATTTCTGCGAATTATAAACCTAATGTCTCAGAAATAAAACAACACATTTCAAAATCTAATCCCAATGAATATTTCCAAAAAAGTACAAAGTATTTACAAAGAACTAAACAAAATAATGTTAATAATACTCCCCCAACCACAATCTTCTTAAAAATTCCCCGTATACCCCGTAAAAATCGGGGTCGGATAGATGTCTTCCCAGACGAGACTCTACCCTTCGACATAGCCTCGTCTGGGGATCATCTCTGTCCGTAGGTAGAGAGTCTGACCAGCACACTTGGAAGTGAATCCAAATGACGATATTCACTAACCGCCCCACTCAGTCGGATTTAGCACCAAGATTTATTGTGGGATATCCGAGCCCGTAGGCTCAGCAAAAAATTCCCCGTAGACCCCGTAAAAAACGGGGTCGAGTAGCTGTTTCCCGAGACGAGACTCTGTTCTTCGACATAGACTCGTCTGGGGACCCTCTCTGCCCCGAGCCAGAGAATTTGACAAGCCCACTTGGAAGTGAATCCAAATTACTACCACATAGTATATTCTACTGTATTTATACGCATTGGGACATACCAATTATAGTTTATAGGTACAGTATAACAGTTGTTATTTTGCATTTTTTATCAGCGCTTATATTGCAATTTTTGTTGTTATTCATTTCTTTTCTCTAGCACGCCTTATATTGTATTCATTTCTATATTTGATCGGCTCAGGAGATTTTTGTGGCTTAGCATAGGTGCTGATTCCTTAAGTTTTCGTATTTTTCAGTGATAATCTTTGTCTATTTTTCAACTTCATCCCACAGGGGGAGGTGATCAACCTCCATACACGAAACGTTGCGAATATGGCAATGAAGATGAGAATAAGAGTGCGAATAATGTAAATAATCATAATAACTCATATCATAGATATAGGCAGATAGTGAAAGAATAACAAAAAATGAAAAGAACGAAACAAAAAATAAAATAAAGGAGTAAAGAGAATTATCGTGAAAGAAATAAAGAAAAAGAGAAAGGCGAGGAATAAAAAAAAGAAAGAAACTAAAGAAAGAATCCTGAAAACGTATAAAAAGAAAAGATAGAGAGAAAAAAATAAACGAAAAAGGAAGGGAATGAAAAGAAATAGAAAAAAAATATAAGGGAAAATACAAAAACAGGAATTGAAGGAACAAAGACAACAGGATAAAATATCGAAAGAAAATTTAAATAAAAAAAAATAGGAAAAAAATGAATATATGCAAAAAAACTAATGAAGAAAAGAACAAAATTAAAATAAATGAAAATAAATAAAATGAAAAAAAAGGAATTAAGAAAAAGAGAAATGCGAAGAATAAAAAAGAAAGAAACGAAAGATGCCTGAAAACGTATAAAAAGAAAAGATAGAAAGAAAAAAAACGAAAATAGGAAGGGAATGAAAATGAATAAAATAATATTTAAAATGCAATTGAGAATACAAAAACAGGAATTAAAGGAAGAAAGACAACAGGAAGAAATATCGAAAGAAAATCTAAATAAAAAAATTAGGAAAAAAGAACATATGAAAAAAAACTAATGAAGAAAAGAACAAAATTAAAATAAATGAAAATAAATAAAATGAAAAAGAAAGAAAAAGAGAAAAGCGAAGAATAAAAAAAGAAAGAAAGGAAAGAAGAGGCCTGAAAAATAATAATAAGAGGCCTATAAAAAGAAACGATAGAAAGAAAAAAATAAACTAGAATAAGAATGAAATGAAAAGAAATAAAAGAATATAAAATAATTAAGAAAAATGCAAAAAATGTAATTCAAGGAACAAAAACAACAACTGGAAGGAATATCCAGAATATCTAAATGAATAAATTAGGAAAATAAATAGCAAAGAAAAGAACAAAATTAAATTAATGAAAATAAATAAAATAAAAAAGAAAGAAATTAAAAAAGAAAAAAGAGGGATGAGAATAACTATTTAATTTTTTAAAAATAAACTTCCCTTTAGAAATGCCAGAAACGTGTAACTAATTTCTCCAGCTTACACTTTATTCAACTCATTCTATTCTTTTCTTCTTTTCAATTTCTCCCTGGCGCGGAATAACGTTTTCTTTAATGTGGACGCATTTTCTACAAGATCAGGGTCCTGTGCAAAGATCATGCCTAGCAGTATTCTTTCATTCTTTGACACACAATGCTGACTTTCACCATTGTCGATCTGGGGAGCCTTTCATCTGTCGCCGAAATTTTTCAGAAGCAAAACTGAATCTTATTTTCTGAAAGACATCTTCAATGTAAGATTGGTTTGATGTTTCCTGCAGTGTCCGTGGAATTCGTCCAAGATTGAAATCTAAGAGGAAAATCAATCGAAGGTTCTTGTCCAGCCCTTCCAGAGGTCAACGAAATTACTTCAGAAGAGAGATAAGAAAACGGATAACAATGTCCCTTTCTAAGCAGTAGTCATATTAATAAGATATTCATTATTTCAATACGAATGTTAAAGTTCCTAACACCAAGATTTATTTCAGGACGATCCGAATTATTTTTTAGTTACTCACGTAGAGATTACAAGATTGCCCGATACATATAAAATCTTTTAATTAAAATTAAAGCTAATGTGTACATTAAAATACACGCACTAACCGAAAACGCATTAATCGAATTTAATCTCTCTATATAAAAGGCAGGATGTGTGTGTGTGTGTGTGTGTGTGTGTGTGTGTAACGAATGCACGGCCGCAATTTTCGATGGACTGGCAGCAAAATTTACATGCACATGCTCCAAGTTAGCGGGAAGCCCAAGAACGACTTTGCATTTCCCAACTCCCATCGATAGTGGAAATCGATTTTTCATGCTTCTACGGCAATTTTCATGTAGTTTGCGGCGATTTTCTACTGGCCAGAGTGAGAGCCTATAGCTGGCTGTCACGAATAGGCAGGAAGATTCTATTGGCCAGCGTGAGAGCCAACAGCTGACTGACATGAATTGTAACTAGCATTCAAAAAAAAAAAAAATCAATAGCTGCATTCGTCAAAAGTGGGAAAAATTTAAATTTACATGGCACTTCACTCCAATTGGCTCATTCGCTTGCCCAACGTTGATTCTGATTCCGCAGAACTGGGTTAGGTGTGAAAAAGTATTTGTTGAGATTCTTTTTTCATTCGGTTTTTCCAGTTACGAATCCTTTTTTAAAGATGATCATTTTGGGTTCATTTTGTTTAGTTCTTTTTTCGTAACAGATTTAATCTTTAGTATAGAGCTTAGAAAAAATTCGCAGTGTGAGATAGGCAAGAAGTAAGGCATGTAGCAACATCAGCACGGCAAAGGAAGGGCAAAAATATTTTAAGTCAAGTGATAGCAATTTCTGTATGTGTCGTACGATTTTTGAATCAAGCACGGGCAACGCCGGGCAAGGCTGCTAGCAACTTATAGGAAATGAAATAATTCGTACCTCAAATTTTAGTTTAATACAAAATTATTTTCTAAATTAGGAACGTTTTAATTAAAATATAGGTACATATAAAATATACAATAAAATTGCTATGAATTAATGTTTATTAATCTGATTTTTTATGAACAACATTTTTAATGATTTGCCGCATTGTATTTTTCTGTTCTTCATATAAGTGACGGTACTGACTAAACTGCCTCTTCAAATTTCGATATTTTGTTAAGAAATGAAAACTTCTGAATCTAATTAAATCGTCCATTCTTTTTTAAAAAAATAAATCAGAAATTTCATTTTAAGACCTTCAAAGTAAACATGAAAAAAAAGCAACAAATATTCCAAAAATTTTTAATAGAGACAAATATGCAAATATGTATTTTTATAGTAGTCAGCTTATATTTTTAAATTTATCTATTTATAACCGTCCATTTTTAAAACTCCTGTAATTACTCAGTTAACGTAATACTTGACAACCAAAATAGTTAGTCATTTTCCATTTCTAAATGTTAGAACAATTTTAATTAATAGGTAACTATAAAAAAAAAATTCTTTTTAAATTACTATAGTTAAACTGAAGAATGTTTTACCGTACTAATCGAGTATTATGTACGCACTAATCGAATTTTGGTATATTAAAAATTTTAGTGCATTAAGCGTAAACGCATTAATCGAATACGCATTAATAGAGCGATATCTGTATTTTATATTTGAAAAGAAGACAATCCGAATGTCCAACAATAAAATGTAATAAAGATGCAAACATCAAGTAAGTAAGGCAATGGAAATATATGAAAAATATTGTAAGAGACGGCGGGAATATGAGACGCTGTAATCTGGAGACGCATTGGAATAAGGTTGAGTAGATTTTTACGGTGTACCAACCCTTTGCAGGTTATTTAAAGCCAGAAAAATATTTTTAGATTGTAAGAACTTTTTTTTAGATAATCATGGTTTAGGAACAAAATTCTCACTAATTAACCCATAGATGGGGGAGAAGACGTGGATTCCTATCTTTCCCAAGTCTATCTGAGCATAAACCACTTGTGAAACTCTCTTCAGTTTCCTTGCTTCTATGATACTTACAATGTTTAGAATCATCAAATGCAACGTCAATCGCTTTGTTCTGCCTTTTTGAACGACCTTCCTCTTTTATCAGTTCTTCCATCGCCCTATTCCAATTCTTCTCTTTCCATTTCACTCGCTGTAAACACCTGTGTACTGTGTACTAAGCAGAAGATTTTCCCGCAGTAGGTTGCCGTTTCTTTCTTAGCAACCAATGTGTCCTCTTATTAATTCCATAGTAGGAGATAAAAGAGGGTATTTGCGCGTACGTGAAAGTAGAGAACCCGATTGGAATTCGAACTCGGTTCTCCGATTTAACATTCCGAATCGTTATCCGTTACACCAAAATTTGCATCTACTTACTTATTGTGTCTTGCATCTGACCCCGAAGGTCAACTTGAGACATTGATTTTTTTTTGTAAATATTGATTTCTCTGGCATGATTAAGGCTAATTTAAATCAATTTTTTTTTAAATTTTCATTTTTTTAAATATCAATGTGTAATAAACATGCATTTTTTTAAAAATCTGATATGACTTCTTATTACTATAAAAGTTATATTAATGTGCTAACATGTTTGAGAATACATCTCTTTTTTGTGTTATTTTTTAACCTGTGAATAGAAAATTGTGCCGATCGACATAAATAAGACCTGTAGCCCTTTTTCGATCTATAACCGAAGAATACCATTAGCAATTTTTCCTATATTCATTTTACCATTTTACACAAGGCACATCCCTTCGCATTTCTACGTATCTGCTTGGGAATACCAGGTGCTGTAACCTTGAATGTGCTGATGTTATAATGCATAATGACTCGGAATTGTTCATCAGTGAATCAAGTTTGATATATTCACTTATGGGCAATTCCCTTGGGAAAATATGAATCTGCATATTATCGCCTCTACTACGAGTTAATTACTAAAGCAATAAAACAATTAAAGAATAAAAAAACATTAAAACAAGTATTATCTTAAAAACAAAAATTAATCAAAAAAAATTTTTCTGGCTCTAAATAACTGGCGAAAGGCTGATTATCCGTAAAAAATGAATTAATCAAATTCTGCTAATCGATACCTACTGTTACATGTTGACCGCTGTGAATATTGACATCGTTTTATTTCGGCAATGAAAGACTTCAACACAGAGAATTATAACTTATTTATTTTTATCAATCATGCCGACATATAAATTAACTATCTTGCGCGGGTTCGCCCCCTCACTCTGGAGCCGTTTTGGAGACGAAAGAGAACAAGTCTACATCGCTTGACGACCAAGAACCACCTGAGAAAAAAAAAAAAAAACTTTCTCTATCTGTCATTTCCACGCTAAATCAGCCAATCAAAATCTACTTCTTTGTTATGTCTTGCATCTGACCCCGAAGGTCAACCTGCGGAAGTCGCAGCTGAGATACATATCCTCTAAAAATAATCGTCTGCTAAACTGTTATGTAACACATGCTAGCTTTATTTTACTAGACGAAAATTAAGGTTAATTTTTAAAGGGATATTTTTTTAATATGATGTCAGTCCTTACTACAATAAAGGCTATTTTTAATGGTTAGATAAGATGCTTTACTGCATGCAGTTCTTAAACAGTGAACATTCTAACAACCACGCTGGAGGAGTCCTACGAAAATTTGATTGAACGGGCGTCTGCAAAAGGTATTGTTTGCCAACCTAGAATATAGGGAGATACGAGTGACCATTGCCCTGTTCACACTCCATGAGTATTGTTTTATCTATTGTTTGCTCTTTATGACTGGATTTTCAGGTCTTTCTATCGTCTTCACATTCTGTTTCCCTCCAAGGAACTCCATGCGTCTTAGTGGTAATATTCGTGGAATTATTTTTTTAAGCAGTAAATATAATCATGTGTAGAGAAATTTTTTTGACTGACTACGACTTGTTTCAAAATTCCGTTAGTTTCATACGATGTTGAGTTCATACAAAAGTATAAAAATTGCTGAAAATGAACTTATCTTATTCTATGACTTGTGTTCTTCTATGTGTGTTAATTTTTCATATCCTGCCGTAATAATTGTAATAAGATTATTGAATCTTATTTTAAACGCAACTTTTATTTTATAAAAAAAGAGTATCAAGCATTGTCATTTTATGTGGCTTAATATTATTCTAAATAAGTTTCACTATTCTGGTTGGAAGATATAAAAATAAGAAAAAAAATCTAGGAACAGAAAACACAAACGTATTGAAGAGACAGGGTAAGACGTATACAGGTGACTATATTAACTGAAACTTTGCGTCAAAATCGACTAATCGGAAAATATATATATTGATTAGGACTCATGTCTTTTCTAAGACTGTAACACCCGGAATCTATTTCAGTCTGTTCCTTTCTATACCAAGTTGAGATTATCTTTTAAACTGTCCACATGCTTGGGTAGTTTCTAAAATTATCATCTACAACGGAAAATACATTCTAGAATTCCAGACTGTCAGTGCGTTGCGTCGATTTGCTTTCTGCTATTGGTTGATCATAAAAGATAAAAATACGTGTCACTGTATCTCGCGGACAAGACACGATGAGATGAAGAGGACAAAGATCTTTCACCAAATGAAATCAGAAATGAAGAATTATTATTATTATTATTATTATTATTATTAATAATAATAATAATAATAATAATAATAATATTCTTTGAAAGAACCATGTTATTTCTTTTTTCTTTGCCGATTGCCAGAAAAAGAAATAGGAGCTGGGA